TACTATAATCCATAGTCAATTAATTTTCCAGATTTTGGAGGAATATGCTTGTAGGGTAGTGGATCAATGACTTTTTTTAAATTAATAGTAAAATTATGTTTATCTATGGTAGACTTCTTTTAGAACATAATTAATGTTCATGGTAAAAAAGTATAAGATTCTTATATAAAAAAAGAAGATGAATTACTTAACCAATGTGATTGATAGTGATTATGATTAATTAATATTCTAATATAAATATTTTTTTCTTTCTCATAATAAAACTTATATTTTAAATTCTCTTTCTTCATAATTAAATTGTTTATTTTCTAAAAAACACGAACGAAAGGTATTGACTAAATTAAAATTGCATTTTTCGTTCTTTCTCTGGTTCTCAAGCATTGCAGCAAACAAATTAAAAATATAGAATTTTCATTCTGATATCAAGTTATCAACGTTTACAATCAGGTCGATTATTTTAACTTGCTACCGTCTTTTTCTTTAAATTAGAAATTTATTTTTTGTATTTCTATACTAGTATATTTCTTTTCATTATTTAAACATAATTTAAATATGTCAACTATGAAGATGAATCATGTTACTTAATATGATATTTTTTTAGGGAGAATGGCACAGTCACCCACAAAAACAAAACTATTTACCCTTGTTTACCCATAAACTAATTACATTTCTTACCCATAGTAGTTTTTGTGGGGAATTTTTTCTTTATTCTCAAATTCTTTTTTATTTCTATGCTTCTTTTCTTTTCTTTTTTTTTCTTTTTTTTCTTCTTTTCTCCTTTTCTTTTTTCTCGTTTTCTTTTTATTTTTTTGTTTTTTCCTTTTCTAATTTCATTTAACTTCTTTTTTTTATGTTCTTTTTCTCTTCATAATCTAATTTCATTTACCGTTTTCACTATTTTTATTATTCTTTTTTTATACTATTACTAAAGAAAAATCAAATTGTGTACCAATTAAATGTAGCTATCAAAAAATATTAACTAACATATGATACCGGTATAGTATATAGCTATACCAACAGGGTATACAATTGTACGCAAAGAGTAAAAAAAAAATTTAATTCAATTATTAAACTGAAATAATATCAGTTGTCAATAAAAATTTTTAAAAATTCTAAAAGGATCTAATTGTAAGAGTATACCGTTACATTATATAGCATACTATAATTNTGGATATATCTTACATAAATTTTATATATATATATATATATATATATATATATATATATATATATATTATCAATAAACTGGTTTATTTTAGTCTAAATAATTGGGTGAGCGACTATTTAGGTTAATTCTTCAAAAAAAGGGGGGGTGCATTTGCATCTATACCCAGTTTTTGGGTCACCTTTTAACTTATACCCGCTTTGCAGAAAAAATTGCAAGTGTACCCACTTTTCGGGTAACTTCAGACATACGGGCTTGAAGTAGCAAAAATTTATGTCTGAAGTTTGAACTTCAGAATGTTTTGCCTAAAGTGTAGCCTTATCAAAGCAAAACTTCAAGTATTTTTGCCTGAAGTTTGGCCTGACTTGCAAAGGCAATCATGCAAACTTCAATTCATAGTGCAATGGCAAACTTTAGTTCAATAGAACTATAGCATGTTTTGGCTGAAGTTTTTGTTCTATAATTGGTGAACTTCAGCATTCTAGGAGCTGAATTTTTGTTTTGTAATTGCTGAACTTCAGCATTCTAGGAGCTGAAGTTTTGTTTTGTATTGGCTGAACTTCAGCATTCTAGGAGCTGAAGTTTTTGTTTTATATTTGCTAAACTTCAGCATTCTTAGAGCTAAAGTGGTGTTATGCCTTTTTGAAGTTAGATGGCTTTAAAATATAACTTAAGAAATTGTGCTGAAGTTTTAACTGGTTTTTTTGATATTATTCTGAAGTTATTTTTCCTATCTTATATTTTTCAGTTCTGCAGCCTTTTTCTGTCGTTTTTCCTGCATATGATATCATAAAGCAAGGGGTAAGCTAATTCCAAGAGATCGCAAGAGCAACTATTGTGTATAATAAATTTCACATGCATGTGCCATTCTTGTGGCAGGTAACTTGGAAGAGAGGACATGTAGTAGTCAGTTGCTGTTGTATGTTTAAGAAGGATGGATCAGGGAAAGACACAAATCACACCTACTTTAACCAGCTTGTGGAGTTTTATTTACTCGTCCTTCAACATAGAATATGGTAGTTGATAAGATTTAATAAAAACTTTACATATCCAATCAATAATACTTATACAAAGTCTCATGTGTTTGAGAGAGAAAAGAAGAAGAGAAAAAGAAGAGGAGGAAGAAAGGAGCGCATACTTAAGGAGATAGAAGACAAGGCGTCTGAAATTGTCAAAATTAGGGTATAGGTTAAAAAAATTTTTAAATATGGGTATAGGTTAAAGGGGTTTTGACACAGTTACCCACAAAAACAAAACTATTTACCATTGTCTACCCATTTATTTTTTTACCCATAAACTGATTACATTTTCTACCCATAGTAGTTTTTGTGGGGAATTTTTTCTTTATTCTCCAATTCTTTTTTATTTCTATGCTTCTTTTCTTCTTTTTTTCTTTTCTCCTTTTCTTTTTTCTCGTTTTCTTCTTATTTTTTTCTTCTTTTTCTAATTTCATTTAACTTATTTTTTTTATATATTCTTTTTCTCTTCATAATCTAATTTCATTTACTGTTTTCACTATTTTTTATTATTCTTTTTTTTTGTATTATTACTAAAGAAAAATTAAATTGTGTACCAATTAAATGTAGCTAATACAACAAAAAAAAAATATTAACTAACATATGATACCAGTATAGTATATAGCTATATCAACAGGGTCTACAATTGTACGCAAAGAGTTAAAATAATTTTACTTCAATTATTAAACAGAAATAATATCAGTTATCAATAAAAATTTCAAAAAATTCTAAAAGGATCTAATTGTAAGAGTATACCGTTACATTATATAGCATACTATAATTTTGTTTTTTTTGCATTTTCAATTTGCCCCTCACACTGGGTAAAAGCTTAAAGCAAATTAAAAGGGAAAAGACAAGTAAATTTACGGGTAATAAGTATACTATTATAGTATATTGTATACTATTACAGCATACTATTACAGTATATTGCATATTATTACAGTATACTATAATAAGATATTGTATACTATAATAGTATACTGTTGCAGTATAACTATATACTCCTATAGTATATTGTATACTGTAGCGGTATACTGTTAGGTAACTGTGTTCTTCTTCAATCATTATAGTATACCGTTGCAGTATATTGTAAACTATAATAGTATATTGTTGCAGTATAGCTATATACTCCTACAGCATATTTTATACCGTAGCGGTATACTATTGTGTAGATGTGTTCTTCTTCGATTTTCAGCTGAAAATTTCAATCTCAATCACCTCAAATCAGCTCCAAATGCTATTAAATTTCAGTATGAACTTCTAGAAGATACTATAAGCAATATTTAATAGCACCCACTTTGAATCAAACAAAAAATCTTCAAAAATAAAATTGAGCATCAAGCCCAACAACGGTGGATATTCAAATACACATAAAAATCTAGATCTAGGAAACCAGAAAAACTCAAACTTTCTCTTCTAGCAAAGGATTCTTTCACCCCCTCTCTCCATTTCCTGCTCACAGCGCTCGTACTACAAACAAGTAGCCAAAAAATGGCAAAATAAACACAACAGAAAACAGAAACAAAGGGGTAAATTCGGAAGAAAAAGTAGAGGAAAAGGAATTAAGTAAATAACTGAGCCAAATCCTTGAAACAAGTACGCAGAAAGAAAATCGTAGAAATAACAAAGGGCTTCAAAATTCAACACACACAGAGAGAAAAATTCAAGAAGTAGAAAGAAGGAGTCGAAGTTATGTAAGCTGTGGAACAGAAAATAATAAAAATCTAACAAGTAGGAGAGAGAAAGAAGAAGATGAAAATAAAGTGTGGTATCTTTTCTTCATGTCATTCACACTTTGAATCAAATGCGAAGGCAAATTGCTGTGGGCCGGGTAAATAGTCTTGGTTGCATAGGTAGGAAAAGTAAATAGTTTAGGTTTGGGTATTTAAGGGTATATAGTTTGGGCGTAATGGGTATAAAGTGAGATTTTCTCATTTTTTTAAAGTTTAAAGCCTCTTAATATTGGTTACAAAAAGGTCTCTTACTAAACTTTGGCTTTAGGCCCCAATGTTCTTGAGTCGCCCTGCTACTAGGGGTGTCAATGGATATTTAAAAACCGACTAAACCGACCGAACCGTACCGCACCGAATCGATTTTTAGGTTTCTTCTTAAGAAACCGTAGGTTTTTATATAAATCAATAACCGCACCGATAATTAGGGTAGGTTTTTTATTTTATTAAAATAAACCGAAAAAATACCGAATAAATTTTACATGTGAAAAATATATTTATTTAGTAAGTTTAAAAATAATAATGCATTAAATTTTCTTTGGGCCTTGGAATTATGAAAACTATTACAAGCCAACAAGTAATTAAACTCAAAATACTAATTCCTAAAACCTATTATGCTACTTCTACTTAAACTAAGTTATTTCAAGTATCTTTATTAGCAAGACACAAAGTATTCTAGCGATTATGAGTAGTAAACTACAATGTATTGAATATGTTTCCTTTCATATAATTTAGATTTATCTTTTTGAATATTTAATCTTCTATAGACTTTATTCTTGAGTCCCAGCTTGGTATATCTTTCAACTCGTGTCGTGTGATTTATATTTTCTTTGACTTTGTTTGATTTCTTTTATGTTGTTGTAGAATAGTTGATGGATCTATACTCTAGCCATCTTTTTTTTTTTAATTCATCACCCTTTAAACAGTAAAAAATGTCTAGAGAATTTTGCTAAGTCCTATAAAAGAATGTATGTTATTGCATTCTACTTCTACTGGTGAAATTTACATGATATTAAAAAAAAATACCGAAAATTAACCGAACGTACCGATACCGAAGAGAAACCGACATGATTGGGACGGTTTCGAGAAGTCTAATTTTGGTTATACATAATAGAATAACTGAAAAATTGATATGGTACAAATTTTATAAAATAACCGGCCGAAATGAACTATTGACATCCCTACCTGCTACCACCATCATTCCCCAACTGGCCAGTTGCAAAATCAACACTTCCAAAAGACCTCATATTATCACCAGTCTGGCTATGAGCTTGCAAAGCCTGACCAGAAACTTGGCCATTTTGCCAAACCTGGTTAAAACTACTCCTTCCACTAGGAAGTTCCAAACTTGCAAAAATAATATATTCATTGTTTGAAAACTCTGCTTCAATTCTTGGCACATTAAAACTCAAAGAACCTTGTCTTAACTGAGTAAGATAATTAGCAATAGGAGCAGTGTAAGCTTGAATTCGGCCACTGGAATTTTTAAATGCAACCAAACACTGTGCACCAACCATTCTTGCTCCATTAATATTTAAACCCCAAGCTACCCAATCTGAATCTGTAACTCCTCTATGTCTGTAAGCAAGATCAACTGTGTGATTATCTGAATGATAAGTCCAGTGAAGAACAGAATTGAGCAAAGGTAGAGGATTACAAGTTGCAAAATTCTGATTATTTCTGAATGCAAAAGCTGAGCAGTTTTGTGTTTGAGCATGAGTAGTAGTAGAAAATAGACTTAATAACAAGAATGATGAAAAAAACAAAGTTGTTACAAGTCTATCCATATTTGAGAACCAAATTCAAGAACTGGCTATTTTTGCAATAATGGCTATTTTTTAAAGGGAATTGTCTTTGTTGGGTTTTGGATGATTGAATCAAGAAACGAAAAGTGGCTTAGATTTTATAGAATTTGGAAAGAGAAAGGAGTTTGATGACTGTTTCCTTTACGTGGAATTTTAGGCAAATATGTGAAAAAAACAAAGTCTAGTTAGAAATTAATCACAAAGAAAAGTTCTAATGGAAGTAACCAGGAAAGTGTTTGATATTTTTTTTTTTTTTGGGTTTTGTATTAAATTCAGAGATTGAATACTTTTCTATAACTGACTTGGCTTGATGCTCAAACTAACCTTGCTTTCACACATGGAAAAGTCTTGAATTTTTCATTTTGTGGCTAATACGATATAATTTGGACAGTTTGGTCATATAGAAGGTGCCATTGTTTTTTAGAAATTATAATAGTACAGGAGAATAGTTCAATTTATTTTTTTCTCCACCGTGATGGCAAAGCTGGTAATATAAACATAGTATTAAGGATTCATCTGGGCATAAAGTTTAGGTTGTCTAGTTATCTTATCACTTTACGGAATTAATAATGCAAACATGATATTGAACACGTTATATGCTTTCTAATCAAAATACTATACTGAATAATTCAATATCAATTATACCGTAATCTCCACCGTCTTTCAGTTCTCTGAAAACCGTTTCAAAACAATTCAATTCCAATATCATTATGAACGAAACGACTTTAATATTCCAAAGGCACCAAAAATAGAGGTAAACCAACAACAGAGAAGAATTCAACCCAGCAGTCGTTTCGCACAAGAACATCAATTCCAGTTGCATCTAAGGGCGATAAGAAATTAACAATGGAGAAGAGTCTTATCCATATATGAAGGTATAAAGCTTCATGTTTGGTTGGTTTTGATTTGATGTATCTGTGTACTAAATGTACTTTTTTCATTTTTTCATCGCATGGGGATCTCCAGTGGTTATGTTCATCATAGTTAAGTTGGTTATGCAAATACAAAATTCAATAGAGAAAGATTTCTTAGTATATTTTAGTTGTTGCTTATCATTTCTTAGTATCATTTAATACAAAATTTTATGATTTTTGTCCTTTGTACCGAACAACCTAAATCGTATGATATTCTTTCATACAATTGTTGTCCTGTGTACCAAACAACCTAAATTGTATGATATTTTTTTCTATTAATATATGATATTTGTCCTTTGTAGTGTGTACCAAGCAACTTAAATTGTATGATATCTTCCC